TTTTTGATTCCAAACAGTGGGACCTCATTGGCTGACTTTATGCAATGGCTTTGGCTAGACAACAGCATGAGGGAGGCTGAGCCACAATTAATGGCTTCTATTATGCAATGTAAAAACATATTTGGCCTTTTGGGAATGAAAAAGAAAGCTCCTTATAAAAGTGGAAGATTTTCTTTTTCAACTGCTTTGCAAATTCACTGAATTAAATTAATTAATTTAATGGAAATCAGTTCAGTACACTAAATAAGTAAATCTTAGGGGAACATTAATAATATAAAACTAGTAGTTATATTTACTGACATTTTTCAAAGTAATCAGTTTCAAATATTTTTTAAGAGGGAACCAACTTATTACATGTTAGATTATATGACTTTTCCATTAAAACCATGTTTGTGGAGCTTATGCTAAAAGCCGTCCCATCAACAGATTTTCCCACCTGAGCTGTGGATCTTTGCAGCTCCTCCACAATTACCATATGCTTTTTAGATGCTGCTCTGATCAAAGTTCTTCCAACCAACCAGGTTTTCTCTAAAAGGGTTAAGGTCCATTTCTCTTTTTTTTTTATTCTGTAGAAACTCTACTTTCAATCCTAATATAATCTTAAAAAGTGAGAGAATTTTCAGTGTTGGTGAATTATTTTATAATTCAGTGGATTTTCCAGTAACCTTGTTTCGCTGGTGTCATTATAGGAGAAAGTGACAAGGAGATAGTAGAGCCATCAAATGTTGTCATCTCTTCAGCATCAGTGGCATCTTCATCCTCTACAGGAGAAATTGAATCACAAAGGACAGTTATGGATTAAACATGTCATCCTTCCTTTACCAGACAGTTCTTCAGATGGTTAGGTCTATACCAAGGTGTTTACAAATCAGCACTGTTAGCATGACAGAAAACATCAAGATAACAAAACAAGCTTCAAAGATCTATCAAAACTGTTCACTTAAAAAAAAAAAAATCCTTATTAAGAAAAATAAAGGTGACACTCTGATGTGCAGTCAGACAAACATTTCTCCTGTAGGAACCTGATATTCCTGTGTGATTTCATTAACGAGCCACGAAGAGTTGGATGAAACTGAAAGTCTTTGCTGCTCATTCTTCATAGTCTTGTGAGCTGACTTCCCAGCGCAGACTGTGTCCCAGCGGTTAGATGTAGGAAACTTCAAGGTTCAGCTAACTTGCTTCAAGATTTTTATTTAACAACAGGCTCATTTAGAGGCACATTTAAATATCTGAATTCCATTTAAAATCTTTCTCAGTAAAGTAAATAAATTAATTGATATATGATCGAACCAATCAAATATTGGGGTTTCTATGATAGTGGCCCTATTCCCACCCACTTACTTTGAAGTTGACAGTTTAAATCATTTCATGATGAGTCTGTGCAAAGATGCCATGAAATAAATAAATGGAAAAAAAGGATAGTAGAATGCATATGTAAATGACTATTATTCAATTAGATAAATTCAAATCTAGACTTAATCATTAAATGGCGTTTCATTATTTGATGATTTAATAGTGAGCGGCACCGTGTTGCAGTTTGTAGCACTGGTGCCTTTCAGCAAGAAGGTCCTAGGTATGAATTCTTCGCTAAGTTTGCGTAATTTGGTTCTTTCAGGTCAGTCCGCCTTCCTCCGACAGTCCAAAAACATGACTGTTAAGTTAATTGATCTCTCTAAATTGCTCTTACGTGTATGTGTGTTTCTGTGTTGCCCTGCAATAGACTAGCAACCTGTCCAGGGTGTACCCTACTGTTCACCAATAGACTGCTGGAGATAAGCACCATGACTCTGACAGATATGGGGAGGTAGATGGATGGATTCTATGGTCCAGTTTTTTATTCTATTATGGATTTACACCTTTAATTTAATTAATATTTATTTAATGAATAATTTCAAAAGCTTCATTAAATAATCACGCCCGACATGGCCTTGGTGTCAGTGTTCATACAAGGCCGGCAAATTCACTAGACCTAAACCCCACCAACAATATCCAGAGTTTAACAAGAAGATGAGAAAGAAAAGCCCCTAATCCAATGGCCATTATTCCTTGATAGAGCAACTGGTTCACTCCTCTATGTTACACAAGTCATGCAAAAGGACGGGGCCTTTTACAGTTGCTTTTCATATCTCTGCTTCTGCTCCCTGAACCCCAGTCGGCCTCGGCAGATGGCCACTCACACTGAGCCTTGTTCTGCTGGAGGTTTCTTATTGTTAAAAGGGAGTTTTTCCTCTCCACTGTCACTACAAGCATGCTTAGTGTGAGGGAGTGCATCCGAGTTAATGAGTTGCTGCAAACAACTGGTTTTCTTTAGAAAAATTTTTTAAAAATTCTTTAGAAAAATTTGAATCAATTTGACTGGATGATCTGGTGAACTGTAAAGTGCCTTGAGATGACATGTGTTGTGAATTGGCGCTACATTAAAAAAACTGAATTTAATTGAAAAGGCACAGTGAGCAAGTATTGAGTGTATATGCTGTAGCCTACATGGACAAGCATCTGTAGTCCATACTAATCAGAAATATAATAATTACATCAATCTACTGACTCTTCATATGTTTGACATGTTAAAAACTAAAGTGCTAAAATACATATTTTAAATATTGCACTTAATTCAAATGCACCCGTATATTTAATAAAACAAAGAAGAAAGAACACACCAGATCACTATAGTAATAATAAATATGTATACCTTCTTGGCCTTGCTGCTTTCTTTCAACCAAGCTCTTATAATCCTCAAGCTCCTTTTCTGAGAGATCATTGAAAGGGTTTGGTGGAAGAGAGCGGGTGAGCTCCTCATCTTCAACGATGAAGGCCTGGAAGAACAAAAATTATATTTTAATAATGTTTTCTGTTTGTGCTCAGACGTCATAATTTCCTGTTTCTAAATCAGACCGAATCAGCCTGAGGTCAGAATTCAATATGGCCTTAACAAAGAGATCATAAAATCCAATATGGCTGCCATTTGAATGAAACATGGTGATAGCCTTCCTGGTGAATCTATGGCCGTTTCTCAATATGTGTACTTGTACGTTCTCGTGTGCTCATGAAAGGTCATCAACCTCAGCCCTAGTACTGTTCCAATTCACAAGATCAGCAGACCGAGAACAGATAAAGTCTCCGGATGTTGTTCTTGCCCCTCCCTATTTACAGAGTATGCATCAGAGCAGACTTGTCCGTTCTTGAGATTGATAGCTGTCCCAGCATGCAATGCGGCAGCAGCAGCAGCTTTCAATGGAGCGCTCCATTGAAAGTTAAAAGTTCTCTTTTCTGTTGCTGTTGTTCAACAAAAGTATGTTTTAAGATCATTTGAGCTGAGAATATTATACTTCAAAGCGTCACTATATGGCCCATTTATCGATTTTATGTGTAATTTAAAAAGAAATGTCCCGAAGCTGAGAGGACCGCAGCAACCAGTGGACCTCCGAGGCTAACTGCAGCCAGGGCTAAACGCAGCCCGTCTGCAGCAGCCCTCTCTCGGCATAGCGTGTGAAATAACGCTGGCTCTAATGGCGATTTTTTTGTTTTATTTGGCAAAATTTTTATTTGATTTGCTTTTATCTGACTGTGTTCATTCTTATTCCCCCACTAAATGAAAAAAAAAGGAATAATTTATTATTATCTAGTGACTATTAATAACAGGAGGTGAAATGCAGCTCTAGACGAGTCGGGCATGTGTTGACGTCATGAGACCGCTTCTGTTCCAATTTATTTATATTTATATCCATATTTATTTTGCGTACTCCTGTTCTCACCAAGTCCAGACTTTCCTTTGTTCTTCTAAAGAAAATCCGTACTTGCGTTCTAGTGAATTGAGAAACGGCATATCTGAACTATCCATGAGAACTTCTTCTCTCATCATATAACCTTTAATAGATCAATGGAGTACTGCCAGAAAAGCAATGCTACATAACAAAAAAATAGTGGTTAGCTTGTAATGCTAATAATAGTTAGCCTTAACACTATGCACAGCTACTGATAGAAGCTCTTGGCTTCCACACTCAGTCTCTGAGTGTGGTAGTCTATTCATTTCACGCTCCTGTCTTACTTTTAGAGAGTTTAGTAATGATTCAGCTCATGAGAGGAGACCATAGATGAGATATTTCTAAAATAATGTTTTGCCAAATGATCAATGTCTTTATCAAGTCAACAGAGTAAAGCTTCAATTTATTTCTTTTTCCTCCAGCTTTTATTGTCGCTAAACTTTCACAAGTACATAGGAACAAAATTAACTCTCTGCATTTAACCCATCCCCTTGGGGAGCAGTGTGGGGTAGAGACAACACTTTAGCAAAAACATATCATGGTGTTTTATTTTTCAAGCTTTAATTAAGTTTACAAAAAACTCTATGGTGTGACAACAAAGAATACATGGATCATGTTCACTACTGAGTATTTGTTGTCTATGACATTTTCTATTTTCATTAAAAATAAAATTTAATTGTATTTTATTTTTATTGACTATTGGATAGGACTATGTCGTTCTGTGATGATGGAACTATGGTGTTTAATGTGTATGAGGAAAGGACAAAATCTAGTAAACTATAGTTACACATGTCACACAGATTACATGTATACTCACCGGTCCTGGTTTGGTGTCCACTACAATGCCTGCCAGTAATTGAGATTTTGGTCCTGGAGTCATCTGATCACCTCTGTGCTGTTCCTTTATCTGAGAAGACATTTTGAAAGAAGTTTTTTTTTTTAGCACAAAACTAAAAAAGTTGAAAAATAAAGCGGTTTCAAAAAAAATAAAGCGGTTCCAAAGGCATCCATCAGCTTTATAAAGATCCTTTAAGATACTTTGTAATGGTATGTTTTGGGATTTCATGCTTGCCAAGGATGTGTCACTAGATGTTTATATTTATAAAGCTTGTCAATATTAACGATATTTTGCATAATTTTCTAAGTAAATTACCGTAATCATCAACCTCTCTTCTCTTTGAAAATGTCAAAGATTCATTTTTTTTTAGCTCAAGCTAAGATCTCTGAAACCAGATTCTAACAGAAACCCCTGGCCACAAAAAAAAAAAAATTAGCCGAGAAAAACTTCCAATTTTATTTGAGGGGAAGAGAGTCTCTGAGATGCTTTAAATCATTGTATGATTTTTCCTCTCTCTGAAGCTGCCCTTGAACTAAACAGTTTGTGGACTTAGCTGAAAAACATGGGATGCCAAAATCAGGATTAGATGTGCTGAATTATTCAGTTTAAAAATTGATCAAGTGGATTATTTGTTATTTGGGCTAATCTGTTTTATATGAATATTTGGCTGCTTAGAAAAGCTATTTTATCACAACATTAAAACACAGAGGGATCTGTAGAACAAAAAGCCTTTTTCATTGAGGCATTTTGTATTTTGTAATGGATGAATATTTTTTCTATGTTTATCAATGTTGTAATAAGTGTTTGGGTTTATTTATGTGTGTTCTTATCTGTGTTTAAGTGTTCTCTGTTTCTGCTGATATGCTATAGCACGGAAGGCAAAGGCACCAAGACAATAAAAAGAAGAGCAAAATATATCTACAGTATATGAGAGAGTATTTTACACATCTTGAGCATGTCCGGATTTTGCAACTATAAAAACTTTTATGTACTTTGTTGAGATTTTATGTGATTCAACAACACAATGCACTGCCCAGCTGTTAAGTGGATGAAAAAAATGATTTAAAAAATCTGAAATACAGTATCTACGGCGCTCATGTCTTTAGCCTTACATTTTACGAAGCGGCATTTCTCTGCAGGTATAGCTGTGGGTCTTTTAGGATTTGTCTGTATATACACGTGTGTATGATATGTGGATGTTCAGCCACATTAAAGTCTTGCCATGGATTATAAATCAGAGTTAATCAAACTTAGACTGACCGGACAATGTAAACAACTGGCTTCTTTGAGAACTTTTTCTTTTTAAAATATGTGATTTTATGTCACAATCGTAGTAATCTGGTTCTAAACTGTTTCCTCTTGTTAGTCCTGGCTTGGAAATTTAAACCCTCTCCTTTTCTTGACTGATATGTTGAGTTTATGGCGTTAACTAGTCTGGCCGGCTAGATTAGTGTTCTATCTAGCACATTCCATGTGCTTTGTTCCAAACCATTCTGGTTTTATGTTAAACTTTGCCTATTAGAAGGAAATCCCAACCTGAACCTAAGTGTTTTTTAATCACTGGCCATTATTAAGCTTAATTTAATTTCCCCTTTAGTCTGATCTAGCTAAACCTGCTTTAAATATCTTCACAGCTTTATCCCCGACCAGTCTGCTGTGTTCCTTGTTCTCCTGAGGATGCTTGTTCACTGATGTTCTCTGACAGGCCTTTGAAGCCTTCATTTAACAGCTGCACACTAACAATACATTCTTCACAGGTAGATTCTGTAAACCAATTAGGTGACTATAGAAAGAAATTGTTTGTATCAAATTTTGTTTAGCAATTTCCTACTATGGGAGCAGGACACAAATTCAAAACATCTAAACTAAATAAAAATCTTGGGCCAGTATGTCTTCATAATCCCTGTTATTTACTACTTCCTGCTGATCTATACCTTAAAGAACCAAAGAAAAATACTTTGAAGCTCATGTCTTTAATATAGAGGAAAAAACTTTTTTTTTTCTAAATATGTTAAAAGATTAACATAGCAGATTTGTAAATAAATATTAATTTAATGTTAAGTAAGTAGGTATAAATATAATCATTTTAATATTGAGATACTAATTTAGATTTAGGTTTTTGTAGCTGCTAGTATTTAAAACATTTTTTTTCTTGACAAATTAATTAAAAAAAAAACAAAAAAAAAAACTATTGCTTAAAAAAAAAAAAGAAGAAGTCCATGCTTCCTTTTATGGAATTTTTGAAAAATGTTTTGTAGCAACGCCTGTACAATATTTTGACTGGTTTGGTTTCTTACTTTTTAGACTAGAAAATAATGTAATATAATTCAACATTGACAATCATAAATTAACATGTCCGATCTGTGTGTTGTTATAATGACAATGATATTCTTAAACTGTCACAGAATTTGATTTTGTGAAGCAAAAACTGACCCGGTTCCTCTTGTCCAGAACCTCTGTAGGATTGGTGTTAAGTGGGACAAACTGGTTAGGATCCTCAATTTTTATCGGGGTCCCGACGCTGTTGCCTGGTTCTGACGACTTCATCCACTGAAAATAGTCAGAATAGATTTATTACAAAGATTAAAGAGAATTATCCAACAGATGCTTATTTTCAAATCAACCACAAGAGGGCAGGCTTATAAAAAGAAAACCTACTAAGACCAATTTGCTTCTTGAACCAAAGCAGAAGCAAAAATTTTATATGAGACAGTGTCTTATGAAAGATGGACATTTAAAGTCAGTGTACCATGATTTTGGTCCGTGGGCTGACATCCCCGCTGGGTGACTGTTCAGGAACATTGACCTTCAGGTAGCTGTTGGGTGAGGTGAGCCACCTGGTTCTCTCCCTCTGCTGTTTCTGTGCCATAAACTTGAAGGGGCTGCGTAAACCCAGCTCACTGTCCTCTGGCGGCATCGCTGACACCGTGGCGGGGATTTCCACATCGTTCTTAGAACGCGGCTTCTCACGGACAATCGGGTTCCGGTATGAATAACCTGTTCTGTATCCCTACCAGGTCACATTAAGAGAGACAACAAGTGGCTTAAAATATGCAGGGAAAATGGAACATACCTAAACTATGAAGGGCATAGTAGCCCTTCATAGTGTAGGCAATATAATACTTAAAATTGAAAATGATTCACAGGCCAAAGATCTGTTTCCATTTAGCTTTTAAATGTTTAAATAGACCAACACATTAACAAACCATTTTAATAAATGTTGCCAATTTAGGCGTGAAAAGTTCATTGTGTTAATAACACAACAAAAGGACAGAGGGAGAAATAGCTATGGGCACTTCGATAATACAAAGCGTACACTGAGGCTGCCTGTGTATCATTCCCAGCAAAATAATAGATGACTGGTATTTTTCTAGGCAGTATCATAAGTTATACACAAGAGACACGCCTACATATGGCCTTTAATGCAACAGAAAAAGCATGATGTTGTCACTCCCCTATCTTTCGGAGCCTGAAGCACAGTTTTAAGTATCCCTGAAACCTAAAAATATCTAAAATACTGAAAAGATCATTGAAAAAATCTTCCCTCTCTTACATGCAAAATTTTTGAAGGCTATAGCTTGATTCACACCCAGAGGGATTTAAGTTTGGATTGCTCAAAGCTGTCTTTTAAATATACGGGAAAACTCCAACAGGTGACGAGAATCAGGCCCTGTTAACCTTCCTAAAACTGACAAACCAGCCAATTAAAACTTTTGAAAGGGCGAATTATATAAAGCATCAAAATGCAAATGAGCGATATACAAGTCTATGCTGCTAGGGCGGCTTGAGCTGATATATCACTCCCTATCGAAAAAGTTGTTACTGACAGAGAAAGATTTAATTATTTCTATCCATTGCAGATTTAAGTTTAAAGCAATCTCTTCATTTTACCAACATGCTTCTTCTGACTAAGGTCGTCAAAATATTCCATATTTTGCTGCAACAAATACTAGAAAAGTGAATATTGAAAATACGATCATTTCACATCAAAATCCACATAACTGGTCCATCTATGTTTGTCCAAAAGGTCTGACCAAAACAATGAGCTTTATTTCTTTAGTATAGTATAATTGATACCAAATCAATAAATAAGGATGGCAAAGTAGATAAAGTGCTCTTTTTTTGTCTCATTAAGAAATAAAACATCAGCATTTTTATCCATGATGTTTTTACCCTGAGCAAATAATGATGCTTATAACAGTAACTGATTTTGGTGCTTTTCTTCGTTCTTGTTATGATATAGTTCCTTTTGAAATCAGAATCTGTAAGTTGGTATTGGCTCTTTAAAGCCAATCTAGAATTGTGAATGGTTTATTTAGTCATTTTTCTTTGTTTGAAAAAACCAATACAATCAACCTAATTTATTATTCTTTCAGCAAAGGCCTTTTGCTTATGATTTATTACCTTCAAAACCAGCACACTTCCTCCTCCGGTTCAAAAGGTCAGACCACCAGTTAGACTTACTGAACTATTTTCACTCTGCAGTTTTTAAAAGTCTTTGAAGAAATGCCAAATCCAAACAGACTGGACTAGAGCCGTTCCAATAACCGATTGTGTGGTCTGTGGTTCTCTGCCCACAGCATGCCTTTCCATCTGAGAGCTGTGATCGGGTGGATGAACGGTAATGACTCCGCAGAGTTAACACAGCTGCACTCTCCTGCAGCAGAAGCAGCTGTTAGCAGGAAGCCCATTCAAACAGACAGCCTGACATCTCAGATGTCTGCAGAACATTTCCATAATCAGTGTGGTTGAAATAAAAGGGGGGGCTGCTATAACCCTACAGAAATCCTTACAGAGGAATCAAAGATCACAAGCCATCCTGAAAAGGCCTCAATAAACGTTACAACTCAAAAATACAAACAAAGTCCAAGAGGTATAAGGAAATGCAAACAAAAGACAATATCATAAAATCACACACGTTATTTTAGAGTAGATGAACAAACGCATATCCTCTTTTCATTGTGTTCTCTAACCCAGAGGAAGCACCTGATTAGAGAACAAAGAGGTGAAAGTTGACTCACCAGGTTGTCCAGCATTCTCATGAGGGACTCGAACTCAGCCTCGCCCACCTTCCACTTGACCTCATTGTCAATGAGCACGCCGGCAGCAGCCACTCCCTGGGTGCGGGGTTTAAACGTCTCTCTGTCCAGGAGCACAAGGTCGTCCACACTGCCTGAACACCTCAGAGAGTTCACCTAAACAAAAAATTTTCATAAATCTCCATATTTTAGAACTCACATTTGAAAAATACCATTAAAGCAACTCCTTCATACAGAATCCCATGAACAGGTTTTGTTCATGCAAAAACATGCTTTTGTAGACTTATACCTTCAAACATCTCAGTGTTTATTATTCATTTAAAACATAAATGGGGGGAGTAGTGGCCTAGTGGTTAGGGCATAGAACTTGGAATGCTGAGGTTCTGAGTTAGAGCCCCAGTCCAACAGACTGCCTCTGCAAAAAGACCCTTAACCCCACATTGCTCCCGGGGCACCGCACAATGGCAGCCTACTGCTCCCTTAAAGGATGGGTTAAATGCACAGAGTTCATTTCGTTGCTCTGTACTTGTGACAGTGTAATGACAATAGAACAAGAGAGGAAGGACATTTAGACAGCAGGAAATGAAGTCTGGAGATACATTAAGGACTGAAGAGTGGACACAAAGAAGGACAAAAGACAGTTAGCTTAGGTAGGACACAAGGAAGGAAGGATACAACATTTAGAAAGTGGAGGAAGGATTAAGTCAACAAATGCAAATATCTATTTCATCCTCTTACTTTCTGGTTTCATGCTTGTCCAGATGTGGAAAGGAATAAAGTTTATTTCCAACATCTTTAAACTTTATGTCTGTAGAAACCTTGACTTCAGATTTCAGACTTAAGCAAAAAAAGAAGAAGGAAACTCAAACAGTAGAACAGCCTCCTCAATCACATATTTGACTTAGATTTGCTTGGAGATCCTGCATGCCAGACATCATCTGGTGTGCTTCTATTTCAGGCACTGCTCTATCTTCTGTCTGTCACATTTAGCAACATATGAATAACAAAAACAACCAGATCAAAGAGTAGGAAGTATGAGTAAAGGTAGATTTTCAGGTTTAAATCCACCGAACAATGCACCTATTCTTTATACAGCAAACGTTAAATAATTAAGAACATAACTTAATTACCTGGATGTCACAGGCTTGCTGCGAGTGGTACACATAATGAAAAGCTTCCTCCACTGTTTCTCCTAAAGCGAGCAGTCCATGGTTTCTCAAAAGCATCACCTGAAAAACAAAAATGGAAAAAATCAGTGAGAAATTACTTTAGAGTGAAATTATATACACACACAAAAAAAAAGGTCTTTGATCAACTTTAAAGCTGTTTAAAATCACAATTCTGGAGAACCATGTTGTGCCTTCAGAGGCTCTGTGCACCAGCAGCACATTCTGCAAAGTTGCTATCATAGCATTTGCAATGTACAAATACTAAAAGGGCAAACATCAACAAAATCAAGTTTTTATAAAATCAAATGCAACTGGCTCTAACAATATTAGATTTTAAACATTTAATAGTCATATTATATTCATATACATTATATATATCATAACATCATAACAATCTGTTCACTGCTCCTTATACTTATTATATTTTACTATCTATCTATCTATCTATCTATCTATCTATCTATCTATCTATCTGTCTGTCTGTCTGTCTGTCTGTCTGTCTGTCTGTCTGTCTGTCTGTCTGTCTGTCTGTCTGTCTGCTCATCCCTCTATATTTTCTTAAATACTTAAAGACAAAAAATAAGCTAATACTAAAAGGTTTCAGAGCATGGGCATAAATAAAGTGATCATGGGAAGGAAATGGTAACACAGATAATATATGATAAAAAAAAATACAATTGTTGTTAAACTGATACAAATGTTATTAGTTAGAAAACTGTTATCTGTATCATTATCATTTTATCATAAAAACAAAAAGCTTAAATTAAACATCTACCCACACTTTATAATTAAAAATGTGACCTTTTTTGTTAGACAAATCTTTACATCAGTTATGATTAGAAATGATATACTTTAAATAATGATGTTCTTTAAGATACAGTACACTCTTACTGTACTTTTCAAATTATAGCTGTTTGGGTGTTGTGTATTTTCTTTAAACATTTAAATATTAGTTTTCTGGAAAGAAAAGGGGGCTTAAGCCTTCTTTAAGCCTGCTAACCAGCAGTGTGCAGAAAGGGAACAATGCTGTGTTTCTCTATGCTCCATAAACAGGCTTTAAAGTGGAACACTTCTGGACAGTTTTAAAGCTGCAACTTTTCAAACTACCAAAATTTGGTTCAGTAATCAAAGCCTGTCTTCTGGCAAGTTGTCATATGATTATAAGCGTTTTATCAAACATTTGTAGAATCCCTTGTGCGTTGGCATTATGATATAATAAGACTGCCTTATGTTAAAGTGAGCAAGCTGTTAATGAGGTGCTTCAGTTTGGCCGTACCTTGGCAGTCGGGCCCAGAGCTTTCTGAAACTCCACCTTCTCCTCTTTATTATCAAGGCTGCCATAGTAACCAAAGCAGCTCACGTCTCCCAGCAGCAAAGCCTCCTGGGAAATGGGCAGGATTCCACATTTCATCGAGGACACCTGTTAGTGTGGGATGAAAACAAGCGAGACTGTGATGCAGAAGCATCTAAACAGAGGCCCTGTTATTTTTTGCTTTCGGGCACAAATAAAAATGCTGGTTTTATAGCGATGCTCACAGCGTGCTCTGCATTTTACAGCGAGGCTTCAAAAGAGGTGATAAAATTACATCAGAGAGACTCTATACCTATACCAACAAGCCATGCAAGAGGTTGGTTTTATTTAAATCATGTTTTTCTCCAGTTTTATATATATAAAAAAATACCCAACTACTTTTAAAACTTGACAACAGCGTAGTGTACTTACAGCAGCTGTAGCTGGGCTGTGTATATGGATGATGCATTTAACATCGGGGCGCATCGAGTAAATGGCAGCATGTGGGGCAAATCCAAATTGGTCAAGGCCCAGATCAGTGGAGCCCTGGTCCACAACTTCACCAACTATGTTCACCTTCACCTACAAGCAATGAGAAAAAATGCAAATTTTAAAGTATTGGAGCTCAAACAATCCCTGAAAGTACAACATAAACAGAAACCCACACAAAAACAACCACGCTGGTAAATATTTGATCCTTGTTCTGTTTTACTTTAAATTTCTGTGAAGGATTGCTGTGGACGGAGACAGTTTATAAACAAAAACCCTTGTATATGTCTTGGTATCTCTGCAAACAGTTGTGTTATGTCAACAGCTTAATTTATAACCCCAGCATCATGTGTCTGTGAATGCTCCTCATAACGCCAGGAGCGGTTTCCGATCTCTGATCAGGGATAATAAACCACTTTGTTTTAATAAACGAAATGCATGTTGTTTCAAGCAGGAAACACTTGTTCATAATAATAAAATGCTTGACAGTGTTTATAAGCAAAGTCACACACAAGGTATATAAACCTCGCTCAGAACTGGACTAAAAGGAACCTTAACAGTTGATTGACCAATACTATCTGTATGACATACTGGACAGTTGTGCTTGAGAGCTTACATACACTCCCATTTAAGAAAGTGATCGATTTAAAGTAGTACTTCAAATAACAAAAAAGTTGAAAATTTATAATAAATAAGAATTAACTAGATGAGAATTTAGTTAAGTAAAATAATGATTTTCTATCTTTATTTAAAAAAAGAAGAACAAAAACGGTCTCAGACAAATTAAAGCACCTTGCTCATGAACTGTGAACCAACATAGCTGTTAATAGGTGCAGAAATCTGACTGAACATTTCCAGAACATGAAAATCAATGAAAAATTGAATTCGATGTCATGGTTCCCATTTTTTTATATATATATATATATATTAGGGATGGGACGATTTATGAAAACCGTCCGAACCGTTCGGTTCGACTGTTTCGGTTCGGTTCGCGTGTGTTTTGTTCGGTTCATGCGCTGCTCCTTTTTCTCATAGGCGAAGCGTTTACACTCCAGAGCAGTAGGTGGCGGTACTGCGACCAAAGCCAACCGCCAGTAGTAAACAAGAAGAAGAAGAAGCAAAGCAGCGTAGCTGGGTGTAGCAGGGAAAAAAATCAGTTGTTGTGGAGAATTGTGTGGGTACGGCGAGTGGGAAATTATGCTAACAGCAACATGACCAACATGTCATGCTAACCCCGAAATCCCTCATACTCCATCAGCAACCCCGGCTCCGCCCCGCTGCGCTCCAGACTGGCTGCTCAAAGCAAAGCCTACAGCCTCCACTGTGGCTCCCGTCCCCTCCCCTCTGACTCCCTTGAATATGGTAGAGGGCATGCGCGAGATGATTAAATT